TTGTTGCTCTTGTCATACTATATATGTTCTCAGTGCAACCTGGGTTTTCATTAACCCAGTACACTGGTTCCACACTGTGCTGATTGCCAACTCAGAGGATGTTCTAAGCCACATGGCTGTTAACTCGTGTCTCTTTCATCGTGTATTTTTCTGGCTAAGTTTGGAACACTTGATCAAGCCTAAAAACTGTCGGTTTTGCTGTAACATTTGTTTTGAAACTCTGCATTTCTTCTGGCATAATCAGTATATTAGGAAACAGTTGGAGCACACTGTGAATATATCTTTGCCTGTGCATTATTTCATCTGCTAGGAACCGCATACAGCTGACCCAGGGTTTATAGGAATATGCAAAATACACACACCTCCATACATCTACCAGCTATGGCAGATCACTGAGTGCGTTATGAGGCACACCCATTCACATCTGGTGTTAGAACTTTCTCTCTGATTTCTGATCAACTCCAGTCTCCATTTCACAGGGACTCACAAGCTGCCCCCTGCTGGCACCCACTTCCACAAGCAAACTCCGTCTTCTGTAAGTAAAATGTCATGTTTATTCTGTTATTTAAGTACATCTTAACCATTTAACACATGTACACCTCCACTAGTGTTTTTATTAGATGCCTTTCTTTGTGATTGTGTGTCATCGATCAGGTTTTTAAAATGTTGTAACCCCATTTTTTTCATAAGTCTTGTGGTTTTTCTGGCATACTTTTGCACAGTGCTGTAATTTATAGGAACACATATGTTGTGTTAAAGCAGACCGTACTGTAGAGTACTTCATGTTCTCCTCTCACTATTTTATCTTGCTGGACTTGCCATTGAGATCGATCATGCTATTTTTATCACGTTTGATCATGTGTTCCAAGCATTTTATTCTCATTTTACAGGTGAATTATCTGAGGTTTAAGGACAGTAATGTCTAGCTTAACTCTTCATGAGTGGTACAATAAGAATGAGAATTGCCTTGTGTTTCTTGACCCAGGGGAAGCAGCACATTACTGTATAAAGAGGGTGGTCTTTGAATGGGACACATCTGTATAAGCTTCAGGAAGATGACATTCACTTCTCAGAATTACTCTGGAAATTAAGCCACAAAATGTAAGGAAAATGTGAATCTAATGCCTTGGGCAAGGCAGACATATTTGCTCTTTCCTTTATATAGTAATACCAGATTGTATAATTCAGGGTTATCCAGAGAAACAGAACCAATAGAAGATATATATGTATATGTGTGTGTATGTGTATATGCATATGTATACACACACATATTATATGTGTGTATATATATATATGTATGTATACACACAGACATGTCAGATTTATAATGGGAATGGGTTCACACAATTATGAAGGCCAAGAAGTCCCACCATCTGCCATCTGCAAGCTGGAGAACCAAGAAAGCTGGTGATGTAATTTAGTTCAAATAAGAAGGCTGAGAACCAGAAGTGCCAACGTCTGAGGATGAAAGAAGATGCATGTCCCAGCTCACACAGAGCAAATTTACCCTTCCTCTTCCTTTTTGTTCTATTAAGGTCCTCAACACATTAGGTGGTACCAACCTATACTGGTGAGACTGTGTCTTCTTCACTCAGTCTACCGATTGAAATTCTGATCTCTTCGGGAAATACTCCCACAGACACACCTGGCAATAATGCTTTACCCGCCTAGCTATCTAGGCAGCTCTTAACCCAGTCAAGTTGATACAGTAAAAGTAACCATCACACAGGTAAATCTTATTGGGCACTTATTTTAACTGAAGTGCCCAGTAGCTTATTGGGCACTGAAGGAACTGTTTTAAGCACATTTGTGTCTTAACTAATTTAACCTCGATAAACAACCCTATTTAGAGGATTTCATTATTATTTCTTTTTCACAGATGAGTAAATGCATGCACAGAAAGGTCGAGTGATTTGTTTAAGGTCAAGTATCTAGTGTGCCAGTTATTAAGTCATGGACTCTCAGCTCTAAACCCACCCTTCTGTCGACTGCTTTGTGGAGCTGGGCCTGAGGTTCAGCAAAGCACATTTTTGCTTTGTCAACTTGATTCCCATTATGCTCTACAAGGCTAAAGTGACACGCCCCTTACTGTCTGTCGCTCACGTCGCTTTTTGTGCCCTTGCTGTTCCCCCAGCCACCCTCGTTCTCCCTGCCGGAAGCAATCTTTTCCACTTGCGGTAGCTGAACCCACTCTGCGGTTTTTCCACCACTTGCAAGACGAGCACAATCTTGTGCCTCCAACACACAACCCCAGCCAGCCAGCCATCTTCTCAGAGGTCTCTGTGTTTGCTTCAGGGGTCCTCTACTACGGTTCAAAGATTTGACTGTCTCACACTCATTTTGTTCCGTCCGTCGTAGGGGCTGTCGTGTGTCCTGCAGCTGCTACCTCTGTGATACACCTTCGAGTTTTCTTCTTACACTTTCAGTTACCTGAGTAACAACGTTATACCTCTTGAACAATAATTCCTATTAAATTCCGATGATTGAAGTAAACTGTGTGCTCTGCATCTTGGCTGCACTCCGACCAATGCTCCTGGTAAGAGGCAGAAACAGAACACTATACCAGCAGCTACGTGCAGGGATAGACCACTACGATATACTGCCTCTCAGATATTATTACACAATTACAGATCCATACACAGCAGCTATTATCTTTGCGTGTTTGTTTGACTGATTTTTTTGAGACGGGGTCTTACTCTGTCATCTGGGCTGGAGTGCAGTGGCAAGATCATGGGTCTGTATTCCCTTGACCTCCCAGAATCAGGTAATCATCTTACCTGGCCTCCCAAGGAGCTAAGACTACAGGTATGTGCCACTATGCCCGGCTAATTGAAGTAGTTATTATGTTTAGTACAAACCCAATTATGACCTAGCTGGCCAATGTTATACTGTCAGCTCTTACGTTCTAGACTTATAAAAAGTTAAGTGCTTCAGTCACCCTTCCATGGACCTGACTTCTAGGGACCAATGGAAACTGACCACTAGCCTCTTCTTGTGGCACACTAACCATCAAAGGAAAGAGAAAAGAGGCCAGCAGGTCAATAGACAGAAGATGTCCATGTTTGACTCACTGAAAAGTTTTCTCTGGAACTCTGCACTTCCAACCTAGAGCAAAAAACAGAGTATTCTCCCTGGGATCTGCTAGTCCACAGCCTTCTAGAATGTCTGAGTTGGAAGGGACCCCAGAGAGCATTCATTTAAAAACTCCCATTTTAAAAATGAGTACACTGAGGCCCAAAGAAAAGGGCTAGTCCCAAACCACACAGTGAGTTAGTGCTGGTGTCCAGACCGGAACAGAGTCCTTATCTTCCCATGGGCAAGCTTCTGCGCTTTTCCTAGAGCTCATAGTCACTCCTCTGGAATCTGCTCTCTACAGATGGGAATTCCCTTGGGTGTCCCTCATCCTGTTCCTAGAAACCCGTGGAAATGGGAGTAGGAGAGGTTTTTTTCCTCTGGTCTCATTCTTTCTGGCTTCTGTCTCCTCACAGGGCTGCAAGGTAACGAGAATGAAGTTGAGTGAGATGAGCCTGGAAAGTGCAGGGTGAGATCCATCTTTATTTACAATGTTGATATTTTCTTCATCACGGATTTTTTTAAAATTTCATTTTAAAAATATTGCACTAAAATATTATTTATCAGGATCACTGAGTGTTCATATTTTGCTCCCACAGTGAGTGCCTTTCTGGTCACAACCTTGACCTGTCCCACCCTCCCTTCCTCCCCTCTGACTACATCTCCAGTCAGGTCAGTTTTGCCACTTTGTAACCGTTTTCTGATGCATGGTCCACCTTCTGTAATATCAGAAGCACTCCTACTGATAACACAGATGGTGAGTAACATGAACAACGACCACTCAGGATCAGCTGACAGAGATCCAAGATAAAACAGGGGAATTCCTGACTTTGATGAAAAGGATGCTGTGGTGAAGTGGAGCAGCATAGGCTTTAAAGTCAGAGGCACTGGGGTTTCAGTCCTGATCACACCAACTTAGCAGCTGTGTGATGAGCAATGACTGATTGTCTGTGATCTGAAAGCAACAGATATCCAGACATGAGCAGAGCCTGCTTCCTGTTCCTACAGCAGGCATGATCCAGATGGAGGATATTGTTTATTTCTCTGGGCCTTGTTTTCTATAACTGAAAGTGAAAATAGCATCATCTCACTGTGAGGATTAAATATGGCTCTTTACATGATATTGCCTAGCATAATATGGGTGCCCAGTTAAAATGTGCCTCCATACAAATAAAGGCAATCTTCACTGGAAAATTCTCATTGACAGGAGTCATCACAATGCATAGTTACTCTTTCACTATTTAGGTCCATCTTCCTATAGCTACTTGAACTAATCTGAAAAGACACAGAAAAAACTAATTATTGAAAACTTTTCAATGGATGCCTCAATATTTTAAAAAATTAAGGAGAAAGACATATTTCTTTCAGCTACACTCAAGGCCTTCAAATGTTCAGATAGCAATTTTCATTCTGAGATGGCCTCTAATAAGTAGTACTTTTTCATAATCTCCTGCTCCTGAGTACAGGTGGAATCTGATTACTTCTAGCTAATAAAATATGACAAATTGAGGACAGCCACTCCCATGACCATGGTCTACCACGTAAGGCTCCAGCATAGCAAACGGAACTGAGTGATTCTCTTCCTGGCCTTGAAGACATGAGCTACTATGTTATGAGGCCTGTGAGAGAGTTAGGTGTCGGGGAACTCTGGGTGACCTCTACTTGTTGACAGCAACCCTGACTGACAGCCAACAAGAAAGCAAGAACCTCAGTCCTAGAGCCACAAGGAGCTAAATTCTTTCAGTTATATGAACTTAGACAAAGAGACTCTAAGCTCTAGAAGAAATACAACTCAGATACTGCCTTGATTCCAGCTTTAGGACATCCTGAGCATAGGCCTAGCTAAGCTTTACTTGACTAAATTTACATTGTTTCAAGACATTAACTTTATGGAAATGTGTTACACAGCAATATAAAATTATTAATAAGTGCTTGCTTTGGCGGCACATATACTAAAATTAGAATAATATGGAGATTAGCATGGCCCCTGTGCAAGGATGATATGCAAATTCATGAAGCACTCCACATGTTTTTTGCAATCTATCCACCTGACAAAGGTCTAGTACCCAGAATTTACAATAAACTTAAACGAATTTATGGGGAAAAAAACAACCCCATCAAAAAGTGGGCAAAGGATATCAACAGATACTTCTCAAAATAAGACATTCATACAGCTAACAAACATATGCAGAAAAACTCAACATCACTGATCAGAGAAATGCAAATCGAAACCACAATGCGATACTATTTCATGCCAGTCAGAATGGCGATTATTAAAAAGTCGGGAAACAATAGATGCTGGAAAGGCTGTGGAGAAATAGGAAGGCTTTTCCACTGTTGGTGGGAATATAAATTAGTTCGATCGTTGTGGAAGATAGTGTGGCAATTCCTTAAGGATATAGAACCAGAAATCTATTTGACCCAGCAATCTTATTACTGCATGTACACCCAAAGGATTATAAATCATTCTACTATAAAGACATATGCACACATATGTTTGTTGCAGTACTGTTTACAATAGCAAAGACATGGAACCAACCCAAATGGCCATCAATGATAAACTGGATAAAGAAAATGTGGTACATATACACCATGGAATACTATGCAGCCATAAAAAGGAATGAGATCATGTCCTTTGCAGGGACATAGATGAAGCTGAAAGCCATCATCCTTAGCAAACTAACACTGGAACAGAAAACCAAACACTGCATGTTCTCACTCATAAGTGAGAGTTGAACAGTGAGAACACATGGACACAGAGAGAAGAACACCACATACCAGGGCCTGTTGGGGAATTGGGGGTGACAACTTAGAGAATTGGTCAATAGGTGAAGCAAACATCCATGGCACATGTATACCTTTGTAACAAACCTGCACATTCTGCACATATATTGCATTTTTTTTTGAAGAAATAAAAAACATTTTTTAATTAATAATATATGAAACTGGTTTATTTGAGAAGTCTGAATTAGAGAAGCTAATTCTACATGTTTTCTTGGTCTTCTCCTCTCTGCATAGAAGTGACACTAAGGATAGAGCATTGAGTCTGGTTTCGAAATTCCATTTATTCCTTAGCCCAATATTTCATATAGAATTGAATCCTCTTACATGACCTGCTCTGTGTTCCCTTCAGTGACTTGATTGCCTCACATCAGTTTTTTTAAGGAACGAGTGAAGCATTTTCTCCAAGTGTCTATGTAGCAGTTTTAATCTAGGGGATAAGCATAGACTTCAATAAGATTCAAACATATGATGGACTTTGAGGGAGTTGATTGCTATATAACTTTAATCAGAAGCCCTATGGAGTGAGCTACAGTCAGCTTATATTTACAACTTTTGCAAACATCAGAGACAAGGCTAATCAGAACATATCATAAACAAACTGTAGCCATTTGCTGAATAGATCAGTTATGTATTCATCAATGGTACCAGGAGACTCTATAGAAAAGCATCAGGGAAAGTCTACAGACATCTGCCTCCCATCAGCTAGACACATACACACACCTGCTAGCTTATCCCACCTCACAGCACAAAAGTGGTACCTTGATTGCAGCTTTAACTTTAGTCACTTTTTCTATATAGCAAACTACCCCAAAACTCCATAGTTTAAAACAGCAATAATTTACTTTTTCTGATCATGCTGTAGATATTGATTATGTGGCTCTTCTGTCCCACAAAGTGTCTTGATCTTTTCAGGCTGCTATAACAAAATATTTTAGACTGGGTAACTTATACTAACAGAAATTTATTTCTTAGAGCACTAGAGGCTGGGAAGTTCAAGATCATAGTACCAGCATATTTAGTGTCTAGTGAGGGTTCCCTCTCTGCTTCACAGATGGCAACTTCATGCTGTGTCTTCCCATAGTAAAGGGGGCAAGAGAGCTCTCAGAGACTTCTTTTATAACAGAAGGAATCTCATTTGGCCTAATCACCTTCCAAAGACCTCACATCTAAGTATGATCATATTAGGAATTAGATTTTAATATATGAATTTTGAGGGAAACATAAACATTTAGAACATAGCACACAGTGGTATCTGCTATGGTCATTCAAGTGACTTTGCTTTCATTTGGTGGCTAGTGTCTCTCAGCTGCCTGAGGCATTGGTGCTAGCTGTCAGTTAGGGAATCTCTACTGTCCATGGGAATGCTCTCCCCATATGACTTCTCATCCTCACAGCTTTCCCCATGTAACCTCTCTTCTTCAGGATGGCTTGAATTTTCTTTGCAAGATAGCTGGGTGTCAAGAAGGCCAAAAAAATTAATCTTCCATGACTCTAAAAGGCTAAGCCTAGAAGTCCACAGAGTCATTTCTGTCATTTTTATATTAGTTGCAATAAGGCATAAGTCAGTAAAGACTCAAGAAAAGAAGAAATTGACTTGATAAGAGGAGTAAGAGGTATGTTCAGGGAGGGGAGGAGTTCTTGATGGCCATCTGTGATGACTTTCTAGAGTATTCATTTTTGAGTTTCTCCATGAGATGATTCTTTGATTTTAATTTTCTATTGCTTACTACGCGTTATATTTAAATAGTTAAATAATTAATTTTAAGTTACATTTTACTATTTATGTAATTTATATGATGTGTCCGCTACCCATATGCATCCTACAGAATACTACTGATGTGTTTCTAGGGCAGTTTTTAGACATTGAGCTCACAAGTTTCAGAATATGCCTTAATCTCCTAGGGTTTCCTTTAATATTCCATTATTACTCTTTACAATGTTATGATCAAAGAAATAGGTGTATATTGTGGAGTAAAATTCAAAATTTGGACTAATAAGATTTGTCATGTAGCCAACTGCTGGAAATTAAATATTGTTATATTGAACTGTTCTGTATTGTATATTCATCAATATATCCATTAGCCAGATTAGAAAACTGACATGTAAAACGATGATTCACCTAAAATCATGCATAAAGTTAGGTGTGATGGAGCCTTCACCTTGAGCCTTTAGTCTTAGAGATCAGCCCATGGACTATGAGTTAGGATGGATACAGTGAGACAGGCCTTGTTCAGACTTCAAGCTCAATGATATCAATTTACCTTCTTTTAAAGCAGTTGCATAGCTTTAAAAATATTTTATCTTAAATATAGGGACAATAACTTCTACTTTATAATTTACCAAATAATATATGCAGAAGACTTGAAATTAATGATAGCACTATTATTTATGCCTCACTCATTCTTTAATAATATATATTTGTGCACTTTGTGAAATAGAGATATCTCACTTTGTGAGATAGTTATCACTGAGAAGGAAATTTTAGTATTACCTGGGAAATAAGTATTTTCAATAAAATACATGCCTGCTACTACATCTGATTCTCTCTTAGAACTTCTCTTCCTTCAGATTAGGGAATTTGAATTTTATGCTATTCATGTAGAGATAATTCTGAGATGTAGAGTGCTCCCACCCCAAAGCCCTTTCCTTATCAGGCATTGGTATGCTGCTTTACAGTATGAAAATTGCCGAGCTGTCTCATTTAAACTTAAATAAAATATAAAGCAAAAACACATAGAGAACATCATTTTCATTGTACAGGTAAATAAATCTAAACCCAGAAAATCTTGAGGTCTTTCCTATGGTCATTTTGTCAAGCAATCTTCTGACTTCAAAACCTATGCCTTTGCATTCTGCTTTCTCTCTGAATGCTGAACAAACACAGTAATGTCATGAGGACCAGACCATTTCTGAGCAGATTTTGTGTGTGAGGAAGTTTTCTACAGATTTCATCTGTAATGTTTTCGTTTAATACTAATGCATGGGACATATGAATTACTAATTTGACTTAACAGAACAGAAATCTCTGTTCAGAGGAGCAATAGGCTAGCTTATACAACTAAACATTGGCAGATTTTAAAAATTGGACCCAGAGAAGTTAATCTTATATACTTGGCTGTCATTTCCCCTTATGATCTATGTGAGGGGGGGTGCAAAGAAGAGGATATGTATATGAAGAATCTGCAAATGGTTTTTTGTGTGCTGGTCTATGCTAAGCCTTAATCTGCAATTGCACAGTATGAAATGGCAGGGGGTGTCCTTCTCACCACTTTAAGTTTGTCGTGGTAGAATTTTACCTGCAGCTATAGACTGTGCAATGAGTGTACTGGAGGTGCAGAGAGTTAAGAAGTCATATTTTTAGCTTGGCTTTCTAACTCTGGGGAACAGTCGTCCGCAGCAGCGTGATTTGATCATGTTTGATCACTGACCTTGCACAGTTCTGTCTTCCTTACACATTGCCACCATTGGCTCCCACGGTATTAATGGATTTAACCTAAAAAAAATTCTATTTCCTCAGTCTTTCTGCTGTTATAGACTCATGAAGCCCTCTATGTAAAAACATATGTCTGCCTTAAGAAACCATAGGCAAGCTTTGAAATTCTTCAAGTAATCTGGAGCACACCGAATCTGGAAGAAAATGGTTTTCATGTAAGTTGAAGAGGAGAGGTGATACGGTTTGCATCTGTCTTCCTGCACAAATATGGCAAATTGTAATCCCCAATGTTGGAGGTGGGGTTTGATGAGAGGTGACTTTTCATAAACAGTCTAGTGCCATCCTCCTTGGTATTGTACTCATGATAGTGAGTGGGTTCTCATGATATCTGGTTGTTTAAAAATGTGCAGCACCTTGTGTGATGGTTAACATTGAGCATCAATTTGATTGGATTGAAGGATGCAAAGGATCGTTTCTAGGTGTGTCTGTGAGGGTGTTTCCAAAAAATAATAACATTTGGGTCAGCGGACCGGGAGAGGCAGACCCAATCTCAATCTGGTGGGCACCATCTAATTAGCTGCCAGCTCAGCTAGGATAAAAGCAGGAAGAGGAATGTGGAAGACGTAGACTGACTGAATCTTCTGGCCTTCATCTTTCTTCTGTGATGGGTGCTTCCTGCCCTTGAACATCAGACTTCAAGTTCTTCAGCTTTGGAACTCTTGGACCTAGGACTGCAGACTGAAGGCTGCCCTGTCAGCTCCCCTACTTTTGAGGTTTTGGTACTTGGACTGACTTCCTTGCTCCTCGGCTTGCAG